TACATGGTGGGCATTTCATGAGCATTGTTTGCAGCTGGTTCAAAGTGGACCTGCGGTGGATGAAACAACTGAATAACCCCAGAAGCAAGCAGCCACAAGAGGAGCTTGAAGCAAAGGAAGGCTGCTATCCACCACATGTTCCTGGTACTGATCCTCCGCAGGGTGAAGGTTAGGGAAACCTGGTCTAAGGGAAAAGCTGTTGAGAACTTACTTAGCTGGGAAGACCCTCCTGCATATTACCACTAGGGACTAAGTGTGTATAACCCAAGAATGTAGATTTAAGCAATGTCATCCCACTATCTGAAAAGCATTACTTTATTTTCTTATGTATGTTAATTCTCTTAATCTCAATTTGTCCATTTTATAACTGTTTGTAGCTGTGGTGTCAACCCTATGTCTGTGCCACAGGAATCAAACTCTGGTCTCTATTAGATGCAGCAGGTTTATTTTGGTCACAGTGGGTAGAGTTCCATAGTTAGTGCAGCATCCTCTCAATGGTCTGTATGAGAAGAGGTCTCTATGATTACAGAGCTTGTTCTGTTCTAGCAGATTTTCCCCCTCCCCCTGTACTCTAATTTTTAATCAATCAATCAATCAACTAATTTTTAATCAATCAATCAATCAATCAATCATTAATTAATTGCAATTAATGTATTTTAATGTTCTTAGACCCTTAGAGAGCCCTGCCGGGCTATCCAGAAGCATATACATTGAAAATGAAATAAACAAAACATGAACTGTGATGTTAGCACTTTATAAAACACCATGGCAGGGTGTTCCGTAAACCTAAGACTTGCGTTTTAAAGGGAGAGTATTGGTGAGAAAACCATGCTGTTCCTTCACATCCTTACAGGCATCTTAGTGGGCACAGCCCCTCATTTTAGTTCTGGCTACAGTTGTTGCTTCCTCCAGGTGAGGAAATGTACACTCAGCAGAGGGGACTTGAGTGAGACTGTACATGAGGAGGCAACTAGCACAGGGTGCAGCTTTTGGCAGTATAACACAGCACTGCTCCATAAAGTGTCACACATACTGAACTATAAAAAACAAATATCTTTTAGTTGTCTTTTGCATATTAGTCACTGTTTTAGATCTGACAGCTCCTTCCAAGGAACACATTAAAAAATAGAATAAAACCATTCAATAAGAGTCAAATTGCTTGGCCCATTAATCTTATTTATTTGATATGTTAAGTGGAAAATTGCTCAGGAAGTCCAACACGGTTGCATTTGACTTCATGAGAGGAAATGTCTCTAAAACTAGGAGACTGAGGGCCAAACTAAACCTCCCAAATGACATAGCACAGCTATTCAGATTGTGAAGGGAGGTTTAAAAAGAAAAAAAAATGGTTCCATTTGAATTAATGGTGGTATTTAATTATACTCTCTGGAATTTTAGAAGAAAAACAGCTGTGGGAGAAGTTGAAAGCTCACCCCAGTACTGCTGTGATTTTGATTCAGTTTGGGGCCATGGATACGTATTCTGAAGTAAATAAAACAATCATGCATAATGTCGCTATGCATAATTAGAAGCCTGCTTGGTTTGCCTTATAAAATTAAGTTGAAATGGAAAGTCAACAGAGTTGAATGCCTTCAGAATGCTTGAGAATTACTCAAAACCACAATAATAACATCTCAGGTTCAATGTATAACACAGATGAGGGATGGTAACACCAAGTCCAAGAGCTCACCAGGATGGTTAAGAACCAACGTCAAGGAAACTATTAGGGAAATAAGGTTTCCTTCAAAAACAATTCATTTTCCCAGGGACTTGTACCAGGACCAGTGCTTTTTAATTTGTTCTTAAATGAACTGGAATTAAGTGTGAGCAGTGAGGTAGCTATGTTTGCTGATGAGCCAAAATGTTTAGCACAGTTTTAAAAACCCTACTGCAAAGGATCTCTCTGAAATGAGTGAAAGTGCAGTAAAAGGCAAATGCAGTTCAATATAGGCAAGCATAAAGTGATGCACACTAGGGCAAAGAAAACTAAATTCATCAAATGTCCTATACCTGCCCCTTTTCCTCCATTAAACTACCTGAAAGGACACACAAATCACATGACTCACACAGATGGTTGTGTTTGCATCATTATCACTAGAAATTAGAGTGATGTTCTTGTCTCCCTTTAATTGTAGTGAAAGTTAAAATATCCCGAGGTAAAGAAAACATTCCACCAGAGACTACTTGTCATCAACCACTAGTCAGGCAGAAATGCCACTCAGCAAGCCTGTCTTATTCATGACAACAACGATATAGTTCAGAATTGAACATGCTGGGAAAACAGTGACCGTCTGCATCTGTTGTGCTGTCAGCCTGCCATTGGAGCTCTTGCTAAGTTTTGGTTTGTCAAAGTGGGCTTCGTTACGGCTGAAGGATTCATGAAAGCGCTGTGAGAAACCTAAACACATGTGATAGCCACCAATACTCATGCTCAACAATCATAATACTCTAGCACTGATGTAGATGCATGTTACATATGGACTTGAGGAAAGGAGCAATATAGAATGTGCATCAAGAAACTTAAACAGAAAAGAACCCCCCCCCCCCCCAATCTTGGCCCGGTGTGTTCCATGTTCAGCTGATCAGACCGAAATTATGAGGCAGCACCTCTCTTGCCCCATGATTCGGTCTGGTATGATAAATGGATCATTAAGTGTTCCTCATTGTTCCTAAGCAGCACACATTCAGCACTACTAGGAGCGTGAGCTTGATCAAGGTGGTTGCAGAACTTGGTGCTCGTCATGATTTGCAGACTTCCCACATACTTTGTAAAGTCATTAAGGACACAATTCTATGCACGTTTAGACACAAACATTCTACAGTTTCAAGAATTTCATGATGACTGGGGAATTGCAGGACTTTTCCTATCTAAATTTGCGCAGGAATGCACCCTTAAGGCTGAAATTCTATACACACATACCTGGAAGAAGATACCACTGAACACAATGACACTTCCTTCTGAGTAGGTATATATATAGGACTTTAAAGTTATTTTAACTATTGTATTATTATATGTATTTGGAAATTTCTTTAAAAATAGTTCATGGTTGCTACAGGATTTACTGCGGCCTTTAGTACAGAGCAGCATTGCACATTGATCATTAAATTTTGCAGATCACGGCTTCAGTCAAGACAGTGGAGGTAAACTTGGAAATGCTTTGCCCATCCATCTTTTACAATTCTGCTGACCAAGCTCTCAGTGCCACCTTTCTATGACACAAAGAGTGTGTTTCTGATATTTGTTTTGGGAACTGACTGGCATGATCACAGGCAGTGAAACTGGGGAAGAGGAAGCTCCACTTTCAATTGAAACATATAATAAACAATTCTCACACTCTACTATTTATCAGTCCTTCCAAATTTGTTCTCACTTCTAGTAAAATGCTGAGCACAACTGTAGAAACATCTGTCTAAGTAGGTGTCTTAGAAAAAGAACCTGGATAAATATTTTCCAAATATAATTACTGGATTTTTGTGACAGACTCCTCCTTCTCTTCCTCCTCATCATATTGCTGGGTATGTTCCAATAAGAGTAAAGCACTCAAACCAAGGCCGTACATTTTTTTAATATACTAGCAAGGATTATTTCCAAACTAATTTCAAGCTGTTATTGTCATGGCCCTGATCTCAAGTCCAGAGTTAGAGAAGGATGAAGAACTAGCTGGGGCCCAGAGCTGACATGCTGCTAGGTCATGAGCTGGATGAGGCCCAGATCACTGAACTAGAGCCCAGCAACCAGAACCCTCAGAAGCCCTCCATCCCAAGGAGCAAAGTGTATCCCATGCACAGGTCCAATGGCACAGGGAACACTAGGCCAGAAGCCAAACAGAAACAAAAATGGGAAAATAGAAAATAGCCCTCTTCGGGTGAGAGGTATGGACCTTAAGAGTCTTCCGTTCCCCAAGTTCAGAGTACAGAAGGAAGGAGGAAAGAAGTTGAAGCTGTTCACTCAAAGCTGTCTGTGGTGCTGAAGCCACCAGACAAGCTTGCCAGATGGGTATCGGACATAGGCAGATCATAAAAGCACCTTAAAATTAAGTAAAGCCATAGGGAAGGACTACATTAAGACCTAGCACAGGCTGTCAGTTAAGATTCTGGACTCCTCAATACAGTGTGGGTACAAAGCCCCTTTCAAGCAAGCTAATCTCAAAACATGGATGCAAAGCTGTAGACCATTACTCTTATAGAATAAGGGTAGTTTACAGAATGACCAAACAGGTAGTGGTGTAGATTGAAATAACAAAGTAAAGGATTACATAGGCTTCTACAGCAGTACCAAACAGAACTCAGTGCTTACAACTCCTGAAACTCAGCTGAAAAGGTCATTTCAAAGAGCTCAAGGCGGCATATCCACACAATCTCTAAATGCTCTGGGTCCCTCAACTCCTCAATTGTCTCCTATGCTTCCATGAAAGGGGTGAGCAAAGGTGTGGTTCTGTGCCCTTTAAAATCAACCATTCCTAAATCGAAAGTATTTGTAATAAGATCATCTCTCCATCCCTCAAGATCACTGGATCAATTACAGTAGGGCAACAAATGCTTCGGAACTGAATGATCCCATCTCTGCCAGGTATCATACTTATTAACATTTAAAATGAGATTCACAGGAGGACAGGCAGAACAGATAGAACAGATTGTTTGGTCCTTAGGCACGACATCGGGGATTAAACAAAGTCTACCAATATGGCTGGTTATGCAAACCCAAATGGAGCTAGCTTCCCATTTCATTGCTATACCTCCCAACAGTCAAAAGATTTTTGAGAGGTTTACAAAACCTAAACATCCAATACTGTATCTAAAATACTAAACATGGCAGTAGCCATATCAGGCAAACTCAGGATTATCATAGTATGCATTGGTTAAATTCAAGGTTCTGGAGCTTGGGCTGGAGGAACTTTGAAAACTGAACTGCAAGTCTGATGCACCAAATCCTGTAGAGTCACAATCATCCTGAAAAGAAAGATAGCTGCATTTCAGAATTTGTAGATTCTGCACATTACCTGAATTGTCAGATGGAGGGGTAATGCTGTCTTTCTCTGAGTCCAAGACCACAGCAAGCCCAACAGAATTAGATGGCAACAGGTTGGTACTGAGATCAATGCGGGTGAGGCTTTCACCTTCTCTCCCATCACTGGTCACAGTGCTACAGATATTTGCAGCTTGATCTTGATCTGTCTTCTGTGGATTCTGGACAACATGAACAATACTCTGCTGGGGTAGGTCACAACTCTGAAAGACAAGACGAAAATTCCTCTATGCATTAAGGTCTAAAATGAATAAACACATTCCTGATTCCAGTTTGGGTCCCACCCCTCAATATTTTAAGTGATTCGCCATCTATTTTTGTGTAAAATTTCAATGAATAGCAATAGATCTTAAGAAAAGATGGCAAATGTAAAGTTAAAATGAGGATAATTTATTCATGCCTCCTATAGGGTCAGAACATGACATTTGTATACATTTAACAAGAAAACAGTGAGAACATTCAACAGTAACTCTGGGCCATATGCTATCAAAAAGTGTATACGCACTAAAATACTCTTTAAAAGATGGCAAGGAAGTTCAAACAATTAAATACTTTAAACATCCTATCAAATACATGAACATAAGAAGAGCGCTATCTGGATCAGACCAAAAACCTATCTAGTCTAGCTTTCCATCTTAGCAACTGTCACTGGAAAACGAATTGGGCCATCTGACCGAACACACTTAAGAGCCCATTATCGGGCCTATGCTGTGGTGGTGAGGGCGGCGAAAAAGAAATTCTTGTCCGTTTCCATTGCCTCCTCACAATGCCGTCCAGTGGAGCTTTTTCAGGTGGTACAAGCGCTGGTTCATCCTGGCCCTAAGAAAGACCCAGTACCACCCTGACAAGCTGGCTGTGACAACTTTGCCAAGCATTTTAGGGAGAAAATTGCTCAGATTCGCCATGAGCTGGACTCCACTAGTGACTCAGAGGCTTCTGGAGAGATACCAATGTCGCCGCCTGGTCCAAAATTGATGGATGACTTTCAGTTACTGCAGTCTGATGATGTGGACAAGGTGCTTGGACGAGTACGTTCCACCACTTGCCTATTGGACCCTTGCCCATCTTGGCTAATTAACAACGCCAAGCACAAGATAGGAACCTGGATCTTGGAAGTGGTTAACGCCTCTCTGAGGGAGGGCCGGGTACCTGCCCCGTTAAAATAGGCGGTAGTCTGACCAGTCCTGAAGAAGGCATCACTGGATCCAGAGATGGCCACTAATTATAGACCAGTGGGCAACATCCCGTTTTTGGGCAAGGTGTTGGAGCGGGTGGTGGCAGGACAACGCCAAGCACTCTTGGATGAAACTGATTATCTGGACCCATTTCAGTCCGGCTTCAGACCTGGATATGGCACTGAATCTGCCTTGGTCACCCTGTATGATGACCTGTGCAGGGAGAGAGAGAGGGGGAGCGTATCCCTGTTGGTTCTCCTGGACCTCTCAGCAGCTTTCGATACCATCGACCATGGTATCCTTCTGGCTAGGCTAGCGAGATTGGGGGTTGGAGGCACTGCTTTGCAGTGGTTCCACTCCTATCTCAATGGCCGATTCCAGAAGGTGACGCTGGGGGACTATGGCTCTGCGCCATGGCAACTATCCATTTTGTCCCCTTTGTCTACATGAAACCGCTGGGAGAGGTCATCAGGAGGTGTGGGCTGTGGAATCATCCGTACGCTGATGATATCCAGTTCTACCTCTCGTTTTCCACCAATTCAGGTGAGGCAGTGGCTATGCTGAACCGGTGCCTGGCCAAGGTAATGGGCTGGATGAGGGCCATTAAACTGAAGCTCAATCCAGACAAGACGGAGGTCCTGTTGGTTGGCGGATCGGGCTTCGGGGAATGGGACCTTGACCTAGTCCTGAATGGGGTTGCACTCCCTCTTAGGGACAAGGTCCGCAGCTTGGGAGTGCTCCTCAACCCAGAGCTTTCACTGGAAGCTCAGGTGACAGCAGTGGCGAGGAACGCTTTCCTTCAGCCTCGGATGATCCATCAGCTGCGTCCCTACCTGGAGAACGACTGCCTGGTGACAGTGACACACGCGTTGGTGACTTCCCGACTTGACTTCTGTAATGTGCTCTACGTGGGGCTGCCCTTGAAGATGGTCCGGATACTTCAATTGGTTCAAAATAGAGCTGCCAGGCTGCTGACGGGGACTGGACGTTATGTTCACATGACTCCAGTTCTCCGTCAACTTCACTGGCTCCCCATTGAAGTCCGGGCCCAATTCAAGGTGTTGGTTATGACCTATAAAGCCCTTAATGGCTTGGATCCTGGTTACCTAAAGGAGCGCTTACATCCATATGTGCCTGCCCTTGAGATCAGCAGGAGGGGCCCTTCTCTGGGAACCCTCCGTGAAGGATATTAGGAGGGTATGTACTCGGAGGAGGGCTTTCTCTGCGGTGGCACCCAATCTATGGAATGCGCTCCCCAGAGAGGTCCACCTGGCACAGTAGTTATTTGTTTTTCGACACCAGGCGAATACCTTTTTATTTAAACGCCATTTTAATTATTAATATTATTGATTAATATTATTTTTATGGCCAGGACATCTTCAATTATATTATATTGTTTTATATTGTTATTATTTATTTATTGTTGTAAGCCGCCCCAAGGCTTCGTTGAATGGGGTGGCATAGGAGCTTTCTAAATAAATAATAATAAATATTTATTCATACATGCAACTTACTGCAAGTCTGGTTATAACCTTTGGTGGATTTACCAAGTATCCAAATTTGTACCTGTGCAGCTTCCCTGTAGACGAAGTCAGTGGTTAATACTACACTTAGGTTCAGCTAATGAACAACTCTTCTGACACAAAAACTATGACCACAAGCCCCATGAAATTTGGGCTTACATGCTCCATTTTCTCCCCCCACCTCCCCCACCTTAGGACCTTCTAAGTACAGTTTGTGGGAAACCATAATGTGTTTTCCATCCAAATCCATCAGGTTATGGCTATTGCAAGCAATTGCTTGCCAGGTTTGGAAAAGGCAAACTTTTTTTGTGCTAACCACAACAATTATATGCTTCTGGTTGCAGTATATCAAGTGAGGAAACTTAGGGAAGGAAAGAAAGGAGTGTACAAGTCCAGGGATGACATGCAGTACCAGGAGTGAGTAGAAAGTCTTTTGTACTTCAACTCTAGCATTCCTGATCACTGGCCATGCTGGCAGGGACTTCTGGGAATTGAACTCCAAAGCAACTGGAATTATATGCTCCGTCCACACCTTCACTGAACCATGGCACTTCAGAGTAGTTACATTAAAAATGTATACATTTTTAAAATTTTCCAAATGTAAACATTTCTAAACACATTTTTGTTGTTGCACAAAACATATCATAAGCTCAGGAATATACAGACTTCATGCCACAGATGGTGTTCAGGTGTGAATTCAATACAGGAAGGTGTGAATTGCTTAAATTCTAGTAAAAATTGACTTTGCTTTTGTTGTTGTTGTTAGTCGCAAAGTTGTATCCAACCCATCGTGATCCCATGGATAACATTCCCCCCGGCCTTCCTCTACTCCATCATCCCCCGGAGTCCATTGAAGCTCACACCAACTGCTGCAGTGACTCCATCTAGCCACCTCATCCTCTGCCATCCCCTTCTTCTTTTGCCATCTATTGTTCCCAGCATTAGGCTCTTCTCCAGGGAGTCCTTCCTTCTCATTAGGTGGCCAAAGTATTTGAGTTTCATCTTCAGTATCCGGCCTTCTAAAGAGCAGTCAGGGTTGATCTCCTCTAGGACTGACCGGTTTGATCGCCTTGCGGTCCAAGGGACTCAAAGGAGTCTCCTCTAGCACCACAATTCAAAGGCCTCAGTTCTTTGGCGCTCAGCCTTCCTTATGGTCCAACTTTCACAGCCATACATTACAACTGGAAAAACCATAGCCTTGGCTATACGCACTTTTGTTGGCAGGGTGATGTCTCTGCTTTTTTAGTATGCTGTCTAGATTTGCCATAACTTTTCTCATTCCTATTCAAAACAGTGTTTCACAAATGTCAGTCCAAGATCAGTCTTTTTGAACTCATAGGAAAGTGTTCTTCCCATGTTGGCAGGTGCTCAGTCACAGAGGAGGGAGCAGGGCCACATTCCTGGTCCTGGCCTGAAGTCATATAGCCAGGTTAGCTCTGCCCTCACCCCAATGTCTATGCACTAAGTGCAGATATCTGAAGTGAAAACTCTGAGTGGAAATATTCAGGGGGCAGGGCTAGCACATGTGCAGGGCCAGAGAGATGGGCGCAAATCCCTTATCTCATAGAATCAGAGAACCATAGAATAGCAAAGTTGGAAGAGGCCAGAGGTCCATTGGGTACAACCCCCTGCTCAGTGCAGAACTCCAAGTTGAACCATCCATCTCAGATGACTGTCCAGCTGTATCTTCAATGAGTGTGGGAAAGCCCACAACTTCCCTTGGTAATTGGTTCCATTGCTGTACTGCTCTAACAGTGAGGAAATTTTTCCTGATGTCTAGCTGGAATCTGGTTTCCTGTAACATGAGCCCATCATTCCATGTCCTGCACTCTGGGATGATTGAGAAGAGATCCTCTTCTTCTAGACGTAATTATGCTGAATTGGAACCAGGAAAATATACAATGTTCTAGCTGTGTCCAGTATCTAGATAATGTTTTAAGTGCATTGTTTTTCCTTTCAATATGTCTAACATCTTGGGTCTTCTTTATAGTTTGCATTTTTTCACTTTATGTAGAACATGCACTACAGTACTCCTTTCTTCCATCTCCCCCATGAATGGAGCTTTCTCTTTATTAAGACTTCAACTTTTAAGAAACCCAACTTTGAATTGTTGAAGAAAAGTTATTTATATTGATTTCTTACACAAAGTTCTAAATATGAAACGCATTTGGTTTTAAAATTGAATTTAATAACCCTTTTCCCAAGGAAGTACTAATCCAGTGAAAAGAGACTTGTCAGAGCAATGATTTTGCTGGCTTATTAAAAAAAGAATGGTACTTCATGTTAACATTAAAGAGGGTTTTTTCATCACAATTAATAGTTTAATTTATTAATACAAATTCAAGGTTACTTCATGGGAATCATTATCCTGAAATGACTGTTATGCTAATGATACTGGGTCATTCCACCAGGAATAGCTTTCTCAAACCCCATTCCTTCAGCAAACATGCATTTATGAATATCATGGTGCTTCCTAGAGCTATGGTTGTCAAACTTTTTGTACAA